TTTTGTAGCGCTGGTCCATCATTTAGATTTGGTTTGTCGCTCTACGGTCATCTTATGCACTCTTTTGGGCTAAACAGACCGGGACCTACAGTTTAACGTGGATTCCGAACCACTCACAAACATCCATGCCTCCGCCAGGATTCGAACCTGAAGCCTGCCATCATTTAGGATTGATATCATTTTGCAGAAGATTTGGAATTTATGTATTGAAAATAATTAAATATTTTGATAAATATGAGTAGAAAATTTATAAATGTATGCCTTCAGAATACAGAAGCGAATTTAGAGAACGAAAAAAGCCCTATGATGTATTGCTAATTAAAGTATTAAAATTTTATAATATATAAACAATAACAATAAAATTCATTTAAATAAAAAACATGCCTTTTTATGCAACATGCAAATTATTGCTAATTTTCGTAAGGAAGTGGGATAATTATTGAATAATTCAATGATCAGGATGTATGACGAGCGATTTTAAGAAATTGTATCATAATTAAATAAACATAAGATGGCAGCTACTTATTCCCTGTTCTACTACGATATGGATTTATTAATAGGAAATTTTGCAATTGATTGATATTTTAAAGTATTTTTTGAAGAGTTGGCCTTTTATCATATACGGGATGGTTGATGTCATTTTGTAGAAGATATAAAGGTTACATCAAATTTTTTCAATTGAGAATTATTCAAATCAAAAGAATTTTTCTTCTGCAAATATGCGCATATATATCTATATATATTAAAAAGAAATCTATATAAATAATTTAGAATTAAAAAACCGAAATTGAATATTTTATATGCTTTATATGTCGCAAGATAATTATGTGGGATGTTTTTATATATCACAAGATAATTATATGGGATATTTTCAAGCATTCCACAAAATCCTATTCACAAATGCGTAATTTTTTTACATGATTTTATTTAAATCTATATTAAATATTAAAATCATACATTTTATTTCAAAGAAATATTCTTAAATCGGATATTTTTATTTTACAATTTCTTTAATCTGATATTTGAAATGTTATTTCATCCATTTATTTAGGCAAAATATGTACTTCATTAATTTTTTTTTTGTGACTTTTGTGATTTAATTCAACAAATTTGAAATTTAAATATTTCACTCACTCACTCCCTGTCTGCCTGCCTGCCACTACAGCCCACAGTGGGCCAAAGCCGTCTGCCTACAGGCAGATTTAGAGACAGGAGACCGTTTATTTTTAAAGGGCAGGGTTGTCAGCTCAACATTCTGCAGTCATATTAAACCGGGCCTACGGTTTAAAATGGATTCCAAACCACTATAAGCATCCATGGTACCGCCGGGACTCAAACCAGAAACCTGTGGTACCAAGTCACTCGGCCATTAGGCTTTATTTTAAGTATTTACCACAATTTAAAAATAATTAAATACAAATGATCTTCATACAAAGAAACGATATTTAAATATTAGTTAATCATGCTAATTTAATGTAAACTTTAAGCCCCCATGGCTCAGTAGCAACATGCGCCGCTAATTAGCATTAGTGCTGAGATTCGATCCTCTGGCGGCTTTGTCGTAGACGCTGTTTCAAAACACTAGGAGAATCGATGGTGTTTGTGATGTTCAGCATCTTATCTCGTTAGTTCGGACTATCTGGCTGGAGTTCTCCAGGTTCTCTCTTTAACGAGACTGGGTAGTTCCACCTAAAAGTCCTCCTGGAAAGCACTCCCCTCTTTCTTCAGCGACATAAGCCGATTCGGACTTCTACCTATGGGTGCTCCATCAGACTGCCCCTTTCCCTCCATCCATAAGAAAATTACTCATATTATGTCCATCCCCGACACATAAAACCACCATGAAATAGTAAATTTATTTGATGATATAAAAAAACACTATTATATTAAAAAAAAGCACTAACATTAAAGACCATAAAGCACTACCTGACGATTAAAAGCACTTATTAAATAACACTAAAACGTCAAACACTGTTATTGATGAATAAACACTAATGTTAGAGCACAGCAAACTTACAAGTAATGAGATGTAAGGAATTCCTAAAGTAGCCGCCGTGGCAATTGCTTTGCCAGCTCCTATGCCAAACGTCCTAAACATGGTAGGAAACAACTCTGAACCTTGCTGGTCCGTAATCATGAAAATTCCAGAGATCAAGAATTTCGATAGCATGGAGCTGATGATGTCACTAGATTCAAAACCTAAAAAAAAAAAAAAAAAAAATTAATATGAAGCACAGTTCATTCAAAATAAAAACACAAAAGATTCTTATACGAATAAATCTTTTTATTAAATTTGGAATGCATATTTTACATTAAATGCAACAACATTACAACATACATAGCAACTTTAAACACTCCTAAAATAGACCAATTTTTAAAACAATGAATACTTATTCCATAAACTAAATTCAAAAGAGCAACCAACCGAATCTTCATAATTGATGTTCAGATCATTTGAATATCAATACAATAATGTCCAAAATAAATGTGTATTTAGTGAAGGTTTGGCTTGTGGATCAACGGTCTTTTGCGCACACTTTAGGTTAATTAGACCGAGACCTACAGTTTAACGTGGATTCCGAACCACTAACAAATATCCATGCCACTGCTAGGATTCCAACCTGAAGCCTGTGGTTCCAAAGCTCAGAGAGCTATTCAATTGGTCATCATGCCGCATTTGGAGAAGGACAAGTGGCTGTTAGAAATTTCATGAAATTACAATTATATTTTTTGATGAATTATAAGATAAAGTTATTTTTCATGTTGCATTTATATTAATAATGTCATTTTCTTCTTTTTATCATTTATTATCTTTCGGTTTCTTAGATAGTGTGAAAAAAATAGTCACAATTTATAATAACATAATATCATTTTGAAAAATATTAAAATTTGTTCAATAAAAATTTTGAATGGAAAATATTTTTAGTTTACTTGGTTTTAAAATTTGATTTAAAATGAAAAAGAACCATAGAACTATATATAATACTAACACATAAAGATCGCAAAACAGGGGATTTGCTAGTAAGCTTGAGCCTCTTCCAAGCAATTAAGTACAAAATGTGTATACGTGGTCAAATTTATGCCACTTTCCATATAAGGACACGTGTTGTTTTTTTTAACTTACAATGCATAAACTTTTAAGCTTATGAATGTCAATTTCATTATCGTGCCTGAATTTTCTGATTAAGCCGGCTTTTTTCAAATTATTTATAGTTTTATTATATATTCATCGAAATAGTGAAGTTGACACAAACGATGAAATTGAATTCAGTAACAACTGAAATTGAAATCAATTTCATTATCGTGCCTGAATTTGCTGATTAAGCCGGATTTTTTCAAATTATTTACAGTTTTATTATATATTCAAAAAAATAGTGAAGTTGGCATAAATGATGAAATTAAAAAATAACTGACAGATAAAGTTTGCACCAGTGGTTTGGCTGGTAGATTTGAGCTCCTTCCAAACCATTTAGTGAAATGTGTGTACGTGTTCAAACTTACTGGATGTAAGGCATAAGGACAGATGTTTTTGTTAAATTTCAATGCATAAATAATTAGGCTTACGAATATCAATTTCGTTATCTTGCCTGGATTTGCTGATTAAGTCGCGTTTTCCGAATTATTTATAGTTTCATTACATATTCATGGAAATTGCGAAGTTGACATAAATGGTGAAACCGATGAGCTGGCAAAAAAAGAAAAGAGGATTGAATTTCAATTTATAATTTTTCTAGAAATTAATTTAGTTTTTGTGCGGTACTTCTTAATTTGAACATTCTCTTTTTTTCAATTCCTGCTATTAGTTCACATTCTCCCTATATAGATCTTGTTCAAATTTTCAGTTGTTCATAAAATACTTTTTATTCATCCACTCAAGTTCAAATACATACATACAACTTGTAGTGGCTGACACTTGATGTTAATACAGTTTTTTCAAACATTAATTCCTTCATTAAATTTAATTAATTAATTTTAGTTTTTTTTAGATTTAGGTTGAATGTATCTACCAATAGATGGCTCCAGATGCAAGAAGAAAATTTCAACTTTATTTATAAAAGACTTTTTGCTATATAGTGAAAAGAAGTAGTAATATATTTGAACCAAATGAGTGCAATGTAAAAATTAGGAATAAAATAATATCTGGAATTTCGACTTGAGATAGAAAAGGCATCTCAAGTCGAAATTCCAAATATTAATTATTTTAAACTATTACTACTTTTAGTTTATTAATTAGCTTCAATTTAGCTCCAATAAATGGTTAGACGTTTGTGTGTGTGTTCTCAGCAAAATGATTGAAACGCAAAATGTGACGCAAGAGGATTGAAGTATATAGTAATTCTTGAATAACTGATAAAAAAAAATGTTTTAACTGACACATTTACTGAAATAAATGCATTTACGTCAATTTACGTCATTATTTCATAATTTTGAAGGCCACATTAAGAAAATTACATAGATGTTTATCGAAATGGGTGTGGTACGTTATAACATTCAACGAAATTTAAATATTAGATAAAAAAAATTATTAGATAACCGAAATTTTTTAATTTATGCATAGCAGATACAAAAAAAAATTTTAAGTTCTCACTATGTATACTGAAAATTTCATATGAACAACGACGCAAATTTTTAACAAAAGACATCAAAAATATATAAAATGCTGATTATTATACTTCTGAAAGTATATAATTAAAATATCCATGTCAGTTTCAAGAAAAAAAAAGTATACAAGGAAGTTTCCCCGTCAAATGTCAATCTAAGTGATATGCATTAAATGACCACACTGCCATTTCACAAAAAAAGATTTTCCAGTGGATATAAATGTTGCTATGCGTTGTCCATCAGCCTACTAAGCTCGCTGCGGTTGCAGTTTGGATTGTAAACTCTTAGGGGCAGGATATAGAGATTAGCACTCGTTATTATGCCCACAAATGAAAAAAGGAGGGTTTTATTTATTTATTTATTTTTTTTTTTTTGGGGGGTTAATGGTTACATATTCCAACGGCCATACCATGCTGCATATACCGGTTCTCGTTAGATCACCGAAGCCAAGCATCATTGGGCGCGGTCAGTACTTGGGTGGTGGTGACCACCTGGGAACACCGCGTGCCGTTGGCATTCACAAATTTCGGACCTGAATGGCGGAGTGTCTAGCGCTCTGGCGCTCCGTGCCACAGGTTTCGGGTTCGAATCTTGGCGGTGCCATGGATGTTTGTAGTGGTTCGGAATCCACTTTAAGTCTTTGGTCCGGTCTCCTATGACAGTAAGAGCGTCACGGAGCCAAAGTCAGACTTCTACCTACGGGTGCTCCGTCACAACAGAAGCTGCTTCTTCCCCTTCAATCATGAGTACGTATGGGCTCGTGGGCTTGGCCAGCCAAGTGGGATAAGAAACAACAACAACATATTCCAACACTCATTGCTGATGCGTAAATTTTCGATTCGAATCGTTTTCAGGATTTTGAATTGTGCTTCGTCACTTTAGAACAGTAAATCTTTAAACTTCTGCTTCAAAATAATGTCATAAGTCCTAAATATTTATGCGACATTAATACATAAAAAAAACCTGGCCAACGAAAAAATTAATCTGCATTTCCACTTTCATACCCCAATCTGTAGATTCTTCTTCTTCAATGCGCAACAGTCCCATGGTGGGCCAAAGCCGTCTGGCTACTCGCAGATTCCGAAATGTAAGAGCTTTCTTTTTAAGGGGTCATACTAGACCGGGATCTACGGTTTAAAGTGGATTCCAAACCACTACTAACATTCATGGCTCAGCGGAGACCCGAATTTGTAGTGTATCGTCGAACTCGATGTATGTAGAACTCGAATTTGCATCGAGAGTCAGACAGCTAGTCTCTTGGCCATCAAGCCTCTCTATAGATTATTAGAGTTCTACATTTACTTATTTTATAAATGTTGATTGATAGTGATGATTTAATGGTACAAAGGCCAGTTTTGGCCAAGCTGCGCTAAACAATTTGATTATCGTAAGCAAGTTTTTATTAAATATTTATTTAATCTTCAAAGGTAAAAGATACTTTTTTTAGTTTTAAAATTGATGCAAGTATTATTTAAATACATTTTTAAGTATAAGAAATAACAATTAAAATCGCATCAATACCATTTATGGAGGAAATTTTAAATATCTCACTTGATGTCTCAAAAATATCACAAGTTTTCACAAGGAATTCGGGAGTGTTTTCTATACTTTTCACTATTACTCCAAGTAGATAGTTTAAGGTTGAGCAGTAACGAAACCGTTTAAATCCAGGTCCGTCATCATCGAAGCAATGGTGTGTCTTAATATTTCCGTGTTTGAAAATATAGCTTCATTTTTAATAATATCTGAATAAGATGATGAAGAGTGTTGAATAATAATTTTACAAGTTCTAGTGAAAGTTAAATTTCCAATTCTTTTTATTTTTTGGTGTTTTTTAAACTGCTATTTAGAATAAGATTGGGAATTGAATGGTTGAGTCTGTTTACAAGTTGCGTATTTTAGATAAATCCAATAGATCCTAACTCATGTTACGATTCCTATAAATGGAGAGGTGGATGCTGCCTTTACACTTGGCCTTGTTTTTGTCACAACACCATTCTGTCCTTCCCTTAAAAAAACTAAATCTTTGATCAAGACCAAATTTAAGGACCTAAGAAAACTCCGATATATTAATATTGCTGCTGGAAAACTTTGAAAGTGTCTTTTACAAGATAAGAACAGGTCTGCTCAAACGGCTTTAGCTGGACAAGGGACTGGCCACACTAAGAGTTTGACCTTCAATGGAGACATATACCATTTGTCATTGTTCGGCCATCGCGTCTCCCTCTCATCTCATCGATTGTATTGGTGCCTCTGTGAGGCAACTGTTGAATGAGGGGAGGACCGTTTACGATCTATTGATGCAGCATGATCTACTGGACTTTGCTTAGGATTCTAAATCAAGGGGATAAGCAACAACAACAAAACAGGATTCCTCTTGATTTACCAAGGAGGATCGGTGTCAGCTGTTTTCTTTTGTCGATGGGCCATGATTACCTCCAGCAGCATCTCAATAAAATCGATGTAACAACTTCTGCCTCATGTCCTCTGTATGCGGAAGATTCTATGAATGGATTAAATCTCCTTATTTGCTCCAAATTAAAGGATGTTTACATTGGAGATGCTTCTTATTTCAGTTTTTCGCGCTTATATTCGGCAGCAAGACAGTGTAAGGCCGATTAGCCCAGACTGGGCGTAGGATAAAAAAAATAGATCGAATTGACAATCTGTGTGAGATTGGCCTGTCGATGAATTAAAAAAAAAATTTCCATGGCAAGCGCTTTGACAAAGATCTGATTTTGACAATTAAAGCATTTTAATTGATTTTGAATATAAAGTCGAACACAAAATTTTAAAAACCCAGTTATGATATTCAATGGAAGAAAAGAGCCGTGAAATGTCATCAGATATTTTGCTGGTATTATTTTAGGGGCAAATTATTAGGCTGTTGATATTATTTCAGTGTTGGTAATATTTAGGAGCAAATTATACCAAGTTATTAGGCTATTTGTATTATTTCAGTGTTGGTAATATTTAGGTTTGGTTTGTCGCTCTACGATCATTTTTTTGCACGCTTTAGGTAATATTTAGGAGCAAATCATGCAAGGTAATGTTAGGTAAGTTATAGAATTACTTAAAACGTATTGTGAATTTTTAATTACAAAATAATACTCCATTTTTTAAAATTATATTCTAAACTCATCTAGATCTATTTCTGAATGATTATTTATGCAGTACAAAATGGTTGAAAAAATTTAGTAATTGATAAATATAAATATTATCCAAAATTCCAGACATTAAACTAATTTTTTTCCTGAAAAGAAACGCGTAGAATTCCAAGACCTAATAAGAAAACTAAACATTAATTATGATATGAAATTCTAAAAATTAAATACAGAAGACTTTTACACACCTATAAGTGGTATTAGACAAAAAATGCTGATCATGACAAAGCCAAGCGCTGCACTCCATCTTCTACCATATCTGTCCATGAGAAACCAAAACGTCAGATTCCCCGGAACTTCGACAGCGGAAAGAAGGAAGAAATTGAGAAACTCATTCCCACTTAAGTTCGTTATGTTGTAAGTAAGACCACTATACGCCACATAAAAAGCTGACCTGTAAAAACAGAAAAAAATATACATTTGCAAACTGTTAAAAATATCTAAAATGTTTATTGTAGCATACATTTAAAAATATTTATTTATAAAATTTGGAGGAAATACGAACCAGCAGATGCAAAGAATAATAAAATTTCTTCTTAGTCTTGGATATTTTAGAAGGCTAGATTTTGGATCTTTCTTCTCTTGTTCTTTGGTCTCTCTAATTTTTTCACCCAATGTCTGTGAATGAAAATGACATGTTAGTTTCACTTAATTTGAGTTAAATAACTAAATAAACAAAAAGATAAATCATAATAATTCGTAAAATTCCAAATGTTCGTAAGATGATACTTCGGAAAAGTCTATAACACAGCCATAAATATATTTTACATGCGATTACAGAGAACGGAATTTAATCAATGAAATTCCGTTTAAAAACTTGTTTTTTCTTACCCTACTTAATAGACAGCAATATTTACAGTACAAGACGGTACAACATTTACGGTAGACAAGTACAAGAACACGTGTGGTCTCATGGTAGGGGGGAGGGAGAGAGTAGCGATGTGGGGCATAGTGATATGGTGTGGTGTAGTGTAGTAATAGTAGTCCGACTAACGACTGGGCCTGAATGGTATACAAAACATATTTCTCAAAACATATTTGGTTCTTTGGTTTCTTCTCTTTTTTGTGTACATTTGATGATCAATTGGCTAGCGCTCTGGCTCTCGGTGCCACAGGTTTCGGGTCCGAGTTCCGGCGGTGCCATGGATTTTTATAATAGTTCGGAATCCACTTTAAGCCGTAGTTCCCGGTCTCATGACTGTAAAAGCGTCACAGAGCCCAGTCAGACTTCTCTCACCGACGTTATTCCCAAACTATACAGGGACAACTCGACTCCAGGCATTGTGATGTGATGTGGTGTGGTATAGTAGTATGACTAACTTGTATGAAGCAAAATACTGAACATCACAAAAGCCATTGAGCCTCCTCGTTTTTTGAAACAGTCTACAACAAAGCCACCAGCTGATTGAACCTCCGCTCTAATGCTCACCAGCAGCGTCCGTTGCCACTGATCCACAAGTCGGGCTCCTTTAATCTATACTTGACTATATATTTCGAAAAGAATGAATAAATAAATATTCGAATATAATAGATTTTTAACGTCGTTTAATGAATTCAATGCAATGTAATTGAGAAAGTAGAACTGGCATGTTCATAATAGATGTACAGCTTACATTGTATTTAAAAAATATTCCACATTTTGTAAAAAAATTTAAAACACGTGTCAAACATACGGAAGGCACGTGTCAAACAAAGAAAACACGTGTCAAATGTATGGAAAAATTTTATCGTAAAATAGATACACCAAAACAATTTTTAAGATAATTAAAAAAACAGTACGTTTAAGTTTCTCCATTTTTTTAAAGTAATTATAAGTTTCACAGTTTTAATAAGACAAATTAATTCTATGGTGTTGAAATTTTATTGAATTGGAAAGCATACAAAGTATTTAAATAAACACAAAAAAAAAACGCCTAAGAAATAATGAAAAGACTTAATACATTGATGTTACTTACCATTGAGTAAAATTTTCGAAACTGTCTTAAAGAAAAAAAAATAGATTCTTTATCTTACTGTAACGTATATTTAATGTCATTTTGTTCTGCTTTTGGGCAGCAATGTTACAAAGTTTTTATTTTTTCTACGAGGAAAATTCTACAGACATTTATTCCTCCTTCTAATATTTTGAAAGATGGGTTGTTCTTTCAAGCGCATCTTTGAAAACACAATAGTAAAATAAATAGAAGTAAAATCGTTTCATGCAAGGATAGTTAGGTTTTCTTAGTGACGAGCTGTTTATTGATTCCGTGATTTAGAAAGCGCAAAGTTAAAGCTTTGAAATAATATATCGTCCATCTCAATTAGATAATGACAACTATACAGGAACTAATTCGTTGAGTTACTAATAA